ATTGAAGTCCACAAGTCTTAAACTGGCCAAGACAGGACTAGAACTCCCAGTCTCCTGGTGATTGGCCCAAAGTCACCCAGCCAGATTGCATTCCTAAGGCGGGACTAGAACTCACCATCTCCTGGTGATTGGCCCAAAGTCACCCAGTCAGCTTTCATTCCTAAGGCGGGACTAGAACTCCCAGTCTCCTGGTGATTGGTCCAAAGTCACCCAGTTGGCTTTCATTCTTAAGGCGGGACTAGAACTCACCGTCTCCTGGAGATTGGCCCAAAGTCACCCAGCTGCATTGCATTCTTAAGGCAGGACTAGAACTCACCGTCTCCTGGTGATTGGCCCAAAATCACCCAGTTGGCTTTCATTCTTAAGGCGGGACTAGAACTCCCAATCTCCTGGAGATTGGCCCAAAGTCACCCAGCTGGATTGCATTCTTAAGGTGGGACTAGAACTCCCAATCTCCTAGTGATTGGTCCAAAGTCACTCACTTGGCTTTCATTCTTAAGGCGGGACTAGAACTCACTATCTCCTGGTGATTGGCCCAAAATCACCCAGTTGGCTTTCATTTGTAAGGTGGGACTATAACTCCCCATCTCCTGGTGATTGGCCCAAAGTCACCAGCTGGCTTTCCTGCTTTAAGACAGCACTAGAACTCACCGTCTCCTGGTGATTGGCCCAAAGTCACCCAGCCGGCTTTCATTCCTAAAATGGGACTAGAATTTCCCTCCATGAAGAAAATTGCCCCTTTATTCTTATTTTTTCTTCCTGTTTCTTCAGCACAGCCGCCAATATTTCCCCTGATATCCCACTTACCGTCGTGCGTCATTCGGTGCGCCATTTCCCTGGTTGGGCTCAGCGTCTGCATCTTGCTCCATATTTGTTTTGATTCTTCCACAATGATCTAGAAAGCAAAAGCTGGTAAGTAGATCTTGCCGGACAAGATCAGATCCGAGGCTTTCTCATCCAGGCTGCCCAGAGACCTTGAAGGAGGAGGACGGGCTGGATCCACAGGTAGTCCCAAATTTCCGTTCCTAAGCGAGATAGCTGTTAAGCGAATTTTGCCCCACACAACAACCTGTCTTGCCAAAGTTGTTGGGTGAATCACTGCCGTTGTTAAATTAGTAACACAGTCGTTAAGTGAATCGGGCTTCCCCACGGATTTTCCTGACCAGGTCGCCAAAGGGGATCGCGTGACCTCAGGACACTGCAACCGTCATAAACATGAGTCAGGTGCCAAGCGCCTGAATTCTGACCGCGTGAACATGGGGGAAGGCTGCCAACGGTCGCAAGGGTGAAAAAAACGGCCGTGTGTTATTTATGTCAGCGCCGTCGTAACTTCGAACGATCACTAAACAAACGGTCGTTAAGTCGAGGACCACCTGCCGGGGGTCCCGAGCATCGAATACGCACCTGCTTTTCGCGTGGCTCGACCAGAACTTTTTCCCCGCGGTTGTTCTTGCACCAGATGGGCGTGTGGTCCACAGCGATGGAGACATCGGCTGAAGCGAAAAAGGCGGCGAGGGTCTGAACGACCGACTTGCCTCTGATGAACGGAGACTGGCCCTGGCGGTTGGAGAGGACGAAGCTGACCAGGTAGGAGGTCAGCGAGCCCAGGTTAAGTTTTCGTCGGTAACTGGAGCGGAAGGAAAGAGGGAAAGTGGAATTAACCCTGGTGTTTAATCGCAGCTTATTTGGGGATTGATGGCTGGCAAGGAAGCCTTTCGGCCTGTCTGTTTCCCTTTTTTTTTTTTTGGCTCCTGGATCGTCTGCTTTCAATGGTAGGTAGTTGTTTATCTCAAGTCGTTCCACTGATTAGTTGTTCTCACTAACTGGAAATTTCTCCCTAGAGCAGGGCTTTTCAACCAGTGGTACGGGTACCACCTGTGGTACATTGGCACCTGGCAGGTGGTACGCGACCATCCTAGAAAAGGGGTAGCAGGGGAGGGGAATGAGCTGAACCAGTGGCAGCACTGCACAAGCCCGAGCGAGAGACGGCTGGAGCTGCAGGGCTGTCGGGGCTCAGCGGAAGCGCCAGGATCAGCGCTTCTTCGGGGCTATTGGGGCTCAGTGGAAGCACCAGGATCAGTGCCAGGCTCCAGCTGGAGCTCGGCGCTGATCCTGGCGCTTCCGCTGAGCCCAGAAGAAGCGCCGATCAGCTGGAATGTTGCAGCCTCTCCAGGGTCTCGTGATTTACATTCAGATGCTTGGCAACTGATTCATATTTATTTATTTATTTATTTATTT